GTGAAACATTTGAAGTTATTTCACTTCTTTTTTGGTAATAATCATCATTAGTCTTTCCACTATCACCACATTGACCTTTCTAACTGGCCAAGTAAAATCAGTCCAATTTAAGCTAGATACCTCCAAAACACTAGCAGCTAATTACAGCGAAAAAGAAAGCAATGCTCTGTAAGAAACTGTGCAAAACTGAAACAGAAAATGAAAACAAAGAAATCAGAATGTATAGAATTTCATCCTCCCTACTTTCGATACGCATACAAAAGATCAAATACAACAATCTGTTCAAAAGGTAACTGCATAGAGTATGGAACATTGAATCCCTTTAGACATTATATTTGTTTTGAAAGCCTCAGTGGTTTGCTATGGAGAATTAGTGACTAATCCTCATCATCCAGACCAAGAAACACTGCAGACAAATTATAGAGAAGGTTAGAAGCTTCAATTAGGGTTAGGTTATAAAAAAAAAATATTCAAAATTTTTTACATATTTTGACACAGTTTTTATAGATAAGAAGGCCATCATAAAAAAATAAAAAATGCAGTTCCCATAAGTAATGTAAAGGGCACAACATACAAGTGAAAGAATGTGCGCTACTCATACTGTGAGGGAAACACAGTGGTGGCAGCATCATGCCAGACAGATGCAGAGACAGGCAAGGCAAGGCAAATGTATTTGTATAGCACAATTCAGTACAAATACAATGCAAAGTGCTTTACATGATTAAAATATAGGAAGATAAAACGGAATCAAAGCAAGTAGGAAAAAATAAAAAAATAAAAATAAAGTAAAAAATGCAGAAACAAAAAAGAATATTAAAAACTGTTGGACTAAAGAAAATATGTTTTAGTTGAACTGTTTAACTAGAACAGTCGAAGGCAATCCTAAACAAATGTGTTTTTAGTCTTGATTTAAAGGAACTCAGGCTTTCTGCACTTTTACAGTTTTCTGGAAGTTTGTTCCAGATAAGTGAAGCATAGAAACTAAATGCTGCTTCTCCATGTTTAGTTCTGGTTCTAGGTATGCAGAGCAGGCTGAAGCCAGAAGACCTGAGTGGTCTGGAGGGTTGATACACTGATAGCAAGTCTGTGATGTATTTAGGTGCTAAGCCATTCAGAGGTTTATAAACTAACAGAAGTATTTTGAAGTCTATTCTCTGAGATACAGGGAATCAGTGTAAGGACTTTAGAACTGGGGTGATGTGCTCTACTTTCTTAGTCTTAGTGAGGACACGGGCAGCAGCATTCTGGATCAGCTGCAGCTGTCTGATCCACTTTTTAGGCAGACCAGTGAAAACACCGTTGCAGTAATCAATTCGACTAAAAATAAACGCATGGATTAGTTTTTCCAGATCGTGCTGAGACATTAGTCCTTTAATCCTGGAAATGTTCTTTAGGTGATAGAAAGTCGACCTTGTAATTTTCTTTAAATGCTTTTGGAGGTTCAAGTCTGACAGGGAAGCTGGTCACTACTCATGGGAAAATGGGTGGAGCTAAATACGAGACAGTCCTTGAAGAAAACCTTAGCATGTTTCTGCAAGCTGTCAAAGATATCCAGTGAGCAGGTGTCCAGGAAAGCAATCAATGATTATGCATCACTCAGTCTCTATGAAGGTTCGACCCAATGACCCTGAGTGAAAGACAAAGTTACTCTCTTGAAAGAAACCCTTATGACATATATCCCAAAAAATATTCATGAAGGATCTTATTTGACAATGCTCTTAATTTACTTTATTTTTAGCATTTTGGCAATTCGTAATTATTGAGAACCCAGGAATGCAAAAGCATTTCAGATTCCTTTGGACGGCTCCTGTACTTGTTGAGATTCTATCATTTTTTTAGACCTGCTAAACAGTGTATACTGATAAAGGGTCTTTTTCCATGATTAAATTTAAGCAATCTGAGTCTAGAGGTTGAGGGAGGCTGATCTAACATGCTCAAACAAAGGCTCCTATAATCATTTCTTAGGCAAGTCTAAAGGGTGGAGAAGCCAAACAAATAAAACACATTTACTTAAATATACAGGGTTATAACAAAAAAGGGCTGAAAGAGCAACCTTAAAATAATAATGTGAGTTCAAAGTCCTATTAGCAATGCAACTGGTTTGGAATCAGAAGGATTTTGAACTACACCACAGTAATCACTTGTATAAAACACCTTTCTAATCCAATCAAACGATGAAGTAAAACTACAAAACAGTCAATGCAGCATTGACTGCCTGGTGAAAATGTTAATCACTGACAATCTAAATACTTTCCAATATTACACAACCCTCTCCCCCCTACAGTTCACAAGTAAAAAAGAAGATATTATTTATAGCATTAGGAGATCCACCAGTTTAGACTTTAGTTTTAAAACATTGGGTTCAAGGTACGAATTCAGGAAAGTAATCAATCAAATCGGTTTAAATGTGTTGTCAGAATAATAAAAAAATATGTGTAATTATTGAGTGAAGAATAATGAAATACTGCTTTACTTAGCCTGTTTAACTTTAAGAGTTTTAAAAAAAACACAAACTCATTTAAATCAGGGATATCTTCACTGTTACCTTCTCTAAATGCAAACTTTTGGTATACTTTAAAAGGTAGGGCTTAAAAGAATATATTTTAATTGTTAATATGTCTGACTTGTTATGATCAAAAACAAAAATCTAATCATTTGAGCATTGCTCCACAAAATAATTCAAAGTAAATGGTGCAAAACACAAATACAGTCCTTTTGAAAACCGGCAAAATACTTCTGATTCCATAAAACAACATCTTGACTGTAACTCCACCAAAATTAGAATAAAAGTCAAAGCATTTCTTTTTCTTCAATGGTTTTAGTTGTCATTGTCTCAAGCAGAGCTGTCACCTTTTCATGTGTAGTTTTGTGTCAAAAGTATTTTTTTTACTTCATAGAAAGGGAAACTGGTCAAACCAAACGGCTGATATCCATTGTGGGACTTATATTTCAGGATAAAGGCTTTTGGTTATTAAATTTACCTGCTGGATCTTCAACATGTACATTATTAATGTTAATCAATATTAGATATTTGTTTACATATGGAGCTCGGAAACAATGGCCACGAAGCTCCAATATGCACTGATATTACTTCCTTAGAAAGGGTCCTACAAGAACATTGTATATATTATTGAAAATATGAATTTCTCCTGTTTCATGTGATACCAGATATTATGTGTTTAAGTGAGAGGATGTTTTTTTTTTTTTGTCGAGGTTGTTTTACTCAGCCAGGCAAGTGTAAAGGGTCTGTTGATATGCACATGTGAGTTTTTGTTCTAAACCCATAAATATTAGTGAAAAACACATTTAATGACTTGTTTTGGAAACACAAAAAATGCTCTTCTAGTGACTAGATTTCAAAGAAAGTTGGTGTCACATTAAATTTAACACCTGTGATCCCATCAGTATCCATCGCCTTAAGAGGGTAACTTCCTGCAAATGTAGAGGTTCACATAGACTTATGATTGAATAATTACTACCTATTAACAGTATTGGAAATCCCAGATGGTTATATTAAAATGTAATTGAAAGATTCTGATGGGAGGATTCACAACATTTGAGTCAAACCAAGGCACACTTGTGGGTGAATTTTAAGGCAACACTTTAAACACTCTACTTCTGTCTGAAGTCATGGAAAATAAAATCTGCTTAGATAGAAGCAAGATAATTGTGGATCACTACTAGTCTGGTTCATCCTTGAATAAAATGTCCAGATCTCTGATGGTCAGAGACGGCTCTAGAGGACATTTATCAGTGTGGGCAGTGTTTTTCTTCATGTGGCAGAGAACAAGAATAACAATCAAACAAACAAACAAACAAACGGGACAAGAGTGAATAACTTAGTGGATTAAGTGTGCCACATATCTAGGGTTTAAGACTCCTGATCTAACAGCTGAAAACTCTGATCCAATCTTAATGCAAATAAAGTGTTTGAGCGACAGTGGCAGGAGTTTGCCATGCAATCGGACGGTTGTCAGTTCGAGCCCTGTTGTGTCCTTGGGCAAGACGCTTCACTTCCATAACCTACTGATGGTCTGTGAGTCCCCGGGGCTCTTTATGGCTACATTGTAGCTTGCTACCATCAGTGTGTGTGAATGACTGGCTGTACTGGGTAGTGACTGACTAGAATTTATAAGTATTATATATAAGTATGACTTGCTATATAAGTACAGGCTGACTGTTTTTTCTAAAGTATTGTTCAAATAAGTTGAAACATTAAATTAGGCCAAGGGGGGAATCAGTTACGGTCTTCTGTCAGCAAACGTCATCATGACTGTTTTAGTACTACACTGCGTAAACTGATCTAAAAAAGTTCAAATTTCATAAATTCGATAAATGAAATGTTTTGTCAAGGGAAGTTTTGGTATTATTGCCCTTGAAATAATAATTACATATATCTACTTCATATAAGATTGCAGAGTTGTTGCTTTTTTCTTATTTTGAATGTAAATCATCTTATTTCACTGGCAAATTGTCTTACTTAGCTCCACAAATCAAAGAAAAATACAATTATAGCAAGAACAAAATCACGCAGTGTATGCTTTTAGTACAGGAGCCAGGGGTAGTACTACAGGGCTGATGGTCCCTGTTGGCCACTGTCTAGAACCGCCCATGTTGAGGGTACATATTGATATGTCCTATCATATATCAGTCACGTCTGGCTGTCTTACCTTTAAGGAAGGAAGTGGCTTCTGTGTCACAGAGTTAAACCTGCTATGGTTTAATACTTTAATAACCTCAAAACAGAAGCAGGGGACCTCAGAAAATACTGGCTGGTAGGGGAATCTCTTACTGAACCCTTCTAAGCTTTTGTTCTCTTGTTTTATTAAAGATAGGCTCTGTGCTGTTTCTCCTCAACCTCCTCCAACTATGTTCAATGTAATTACTCTGAATAATGCATCAGCATATGCTATAAAAACATGGGCAACAGTAGTTGCAATGTTATTAGTTCCTGCATGTTTTATTAAAATGGCAAGAATAACCAACAGTCAAAATAGCTTTCAAGAAAAGGAAGATGTTTTAATGAAATCACAGATGCAATACTAATCAGAAAACGCTAGAAAGATTAATTATTATTATAAAATTGAATTCCAGTTGAACTGTTTGTTTTTTGTTTATTGTGACCGATCTAAAAACTACATAAAGAAGCTAATAGAGGTTCACCAAGGTCACAGTCCAGAATGCAAGATGTAAAAGAGGCATGTTACAAACATACAGAAAGCATTGCGTACATACAGTTATATCAAACATACATTCAATTTTAGATTTCGATCTGCTCACACACTGGAATTATACATTTTAGCTTCATCAGCATACTTATAGCAGAACACTCGAGAAAAAAAAACAAAAACCTGAGTTGCTTAATGGCACAAGTTTGTTATTTACATTGGAACCCATGTGACATATCTTATTCACAACATAAAGTGTGCATTAACTGCCAAATATTCACATTTCAAGAACTTCAAAATTGCGCAAACAGAAACAAAAGGACTCAACAATCTATTTGAAATATTAATTCGTTGACACTTTATATTGGCAATAAGTTTTTTTTTTCACAGAAAACTACCACCTTTAGCTTACTTGATTGAATTAATGAGGAAAATAGTGATAAACCCGGAAAGGTTTTTAAAACAAGTGTTTGGATGTTAAAACCAAGAAAAGAAACAATACAGCTATTCAAAAAGAGACTAAACGTGTCACTGCATTTAAATAGTAAACAGCTCTTATTTTAGCTGATATGGCTCAAAGGGCCTTCCTCACCTTTACATGAGAGTGTAATCAGTATTATTACCGACTACAAAAGAAAGCTCACATGTCGCTTTATTAGTTACACCTGTTGAACTGCTAGTTAACATAATTTGATAACAGTAGCAAATATCAAACGTCCCATTTTCTTTTAGAAAGACTTTTCCAGGTTGAATCCTAGTGGAGATTCAATCTGGGGAGCTCTGTCTGATGAAGAAGTAAGAGGGATGGACAACAAGTTCTTGTGACTTATGGCTTTCAAGCTGCTCCAGAAAAAGTCTGAAGTTTCTCTGCAGGTCTGAAGAAGCAAACTCAAAGGCTAATGACTCGCTGTCTCCATCTGGTGGCTCCTTAAGGTCACTAATGTGGACTGTGCCATTTTGACTATATTGATAAGAGGGCGGCAGGACAAGTTGAGGTAGACTCTGGTTGAGCTGGTTGCAGAGGACATTAGAGTAGATGCAGGGGCTGGTGGCGAGATCGTTAGCAGATGGGGTCTTGGCCATGTTTGTGATGTAGCCTTTAGCTGATACTATGGTGGGGGGTAAAGAGGAATGCAGGTAAGGGAGGATCTGAGGATTACAGATCTGTACATAGCTGTGCGTCCTCTCTAGATCTTGCAGCTTATCAAGCACGATGACTTCAGGAAAGCTAACTTCAGGCTTCTCTTGCTCCACAACCAACTTCTTACCCTACGGTTAAAGAAAAGAAGTTATCAAGTGGTGCCTCCTAAACACCGAAATGACAACACTGGTAGGATATACAGTTTCATTTGAAAGTTTAACCCCCCTACTTTAAAGAGCATGATAAATCCACAGTAGCAATTCAGAAAAGACAAAACTGAAAAAGTAATAATAAATAAAACGAATTTCTAAGATAAAATGTTGATTTGTATAAAAACAAACTTATCAATCTTAATCTTTTTAACAGTCCTATGAACAGTGAACTAACATATCTGTCAACAGGTGCATATATATATATACATATATATATATATATATATATATATATATATATATATATATATATATATATATAATTAATTTTGTTTACTGGTATGTAAACTTATATAAGCAAAAGGTTATATTTTTTTACAACTTATTGGGTTCTTTTAGGTCAATTACTAAACTAATCTGACCAAAACTTTGATTTTAAATGATTAAACAAAATTGAACTAAATCAAACAGAACCAAATTAAGCTGAGCAAAGATGGATTGGATTGAAAGCAAACATCAACTGAAGTAAACTAAATTAGAAAGCATCAGATTGAACCGAGCCAAACACTTTGGACTGGACTGAACAGAATCAAACTAGGTTCAGCTAAATAGTACCGAGCTGAACAGACAGAAACTGTTGTTTTGGTCTGAATATAACATTATTTGGGATGAGCTAAATATTGCTAAAGCCCGAAAAAAAAAAAAAAAAAAAAAACTGAGCTGCATTTAGCAGAGAACTCAAATGTATGTGTTTTTTTTGTTTTCGCCCAAGGCTGAGGACTTGGGGCTAAATACAAGGTTGTTGACTTCTGAGGACATCAACAAAGAATAATCCTATTAAAAATAAGCAAAATGTATTTAGGTGTTTTTTAAAGAAATATATATTTTATAATTTAAACAAATATATTTTAGTCGTTTCCAGTTGTATAAATTATTGAGTTATATTATCATTGTAATCCTATATAGAAAATTAAAACTAAATACTAAGTTTGGATTCAGGATTTGTAAATTACACCTTTTTGATCAAAGTTAACTCATCTAAATGCAAAAATATAAACAGGTTCGAAAATAAGGAGGAAATTAAGCTACTAGTTATCTATTATTCACATTACACATTAAGTAGTATTATAATGTAACATTTATTCACAAGTCAAACATTATAGACTAATTTCTTAAAATAATTATTTTGAAAAATATACTTTTTAAAATTTAATTTACACTTTTAATAGTGCCTAAAAGTGTCCAATTTCCAATTTTCTATAAATTCAGATTAAGTATTTAACACTCCATTTCTAAGAATAAAGTAAAATATCAAGCTTTGCTAAAAAGATAAAAATGGATAAATATGTAGTTATAATGTCCAACAATTTTTAACATTTATTTTGGACAAAAAAATGAAAACAGAGTTTGAACAGTAAGACTTCCAGAATTAGAGGAGCCATCTTACCTCACAGGTAGCTTGAGGGTTCCAGCGGGACAGGGAGCTGTTAGAAGGATCAGGAATCCTATGAAAGAGCTTCTGTTTTGCACTAAAAGACAGAAAAATTTTAATGAAAAAGACACTATAGAGTAGCGGTGTCAAAGCGGACTGCAGGTTTTCTTTCCAGTCAACCAATAGCAAACCAGACTCCAGTCATCTCATCAAGTCATCATGTTCAGATTGGACTCACTTGATGAGATGACTGGAGTCTGGTTTGATATTGCTTGGTTGGAAAGAAGACCTGCATCCACTCGGCCCTTTCTGGAACCACTTTGACACCCCTGCTATAGAGGAAGGGATCCATTTAATGGACCACAACAAAAACACACATGAAGACCTAAGGTGTGTTTCATAAAACCAGCATGTTTTTTTTGAGCAAGGTTTATTTGGTAATGTCAGGCCTATTTTGTTCTCATTTGGGTTCTTAAAGCTGACCCGGTTACTATGGTAACTCACCCAGTAACATGGTCAGAACCAAGTTTGGAACTGACAAAGTTCAAAATATGTGTCTTCTTTGTTGATTTCAGCACCAGGGTGGACAGGTAGAGACAGACAGGTATTAGCACCATGCATGGTGCCTTCAAAATCAGAACAGGTTAATCATCAAAATGTTATACATAATTGTTTTTGGTTTTTTAGCTTCTCAGATGTATTTCACAAAACCTACTCAGTAAAGCCAGACTTGGACGTCCAACTCTGACTCAACTAAGGCACAACATGTCAAGGCGGAATTATGGGGTTTACCCAAAATGATGCTTCGCTTGTTTACAGTCACTAATGCACATAACCAGACTGTGTAGTCAAAGATGGAGTTCATTTAGAAACCAAGGAGAAATGTGAATGGACTTGTTATTTCATTGGTGGAAACCTAGTTGGAGTTGAGAAAATCAATTGAACAATAAAAGGGAAATAATGTTACCATCAATAAAACTAGGGATGATAAATGTGTAAATTGTCATCTTGTTCAGCATACACATGAGATATATCCAAATTAAATATAATATTTAATCAGTTAGTTATAATATTTAATCAATTTGAAATTTTCATGATCTTGGCACTGATGACTGGCTTAATTACTCATTAGATGTATGTGGTCACTGACCTGTGCTTCGTCTCTCCAGAGATTCCTGCCTCAGACGTCCTAGCAGCTGTTACCACAGATTCATTTGCTTTTAATAAGTGCCTTCTGAGTATATTGAAATGTTTGTCTTGCCTGTATACTGGGTCCTCTGATCTGAATCGTTACAGCAATATTTGCAAGCATCCTTACAGGCATGGGTGTTGTTTTCGCAAAGTGGAAAAGACAACATTTTTTGTATGCACGATTTATTTATTCCATAACTGTAGAGGCTATATACTTGTTTACGCAAGAAAGTAAGTAACATATTTCTGTATAACATTTTTTGCATGAAACTCATTTTGTGATATATAGCTTAACTTTTTACTATTTTTGAGGGCACCTTACATTTGGGCCGGATTAAGGCACTAAAATCAGTTCTGTCCCTCCAGTGCTGGATTTAACAAAGCACACAGTTTAAACTTAGTCAGCCCTAAACCTGGGCTCTGTATCTTAAACTCAAATCAGTATCTTCCGCTGTTCTCTAGATGTGGCTAATTTAGCTTTTTTGGAGTTCTTTACCTGAAGGCTGTGGTCCCAATTTGAGTAGCGTCATTCATCTGCATCTCCATCTTGTAACGACGTCTATGAGGCTGGGGCACATTGGGATTCACCAAAACGGTCCATAGCCCATTTCCTATCCTGATTAGAGTTTTAATTGTCCAACCCATGAAAGGTGAAGGAATAGAAGCTAGGAACTGGAGGTAATTTGGAGGATTAGGATTAGGGCTGAAACTATTCATCAGATTAATTGTGATTGATCTTAGTAATCATTAATCATTAAATTGGAGCATAGAGACTCTAAAACGTGCCTTTAGCTGACAGAGGACCCGCTTAGAACAGTTTTTATATCAAAATTGTAAAAAAATATGCAAACATTTTGCATTTAAGATAAAATAAAATGTTTTCGTCTTATATGTTTAATCCAGAACTCCTCAAGTGAAAACATTTTAATTTCACCTGGTTTAATTTAGTAAGAAATCTTCAAGAAACCTTTTGCTATCAGATTATGAATCGAAAAAAATAATCGGCAAAACAATTGTTAGTTGCAGCCCTAATTATGATTAAGCCCTGGTCGCCACCAGGCTAAGTTCACCAGTTCAAATACCATGGTAACTGAGTATGAGAGAGCCAACTTTTTGAAATCCAAATGACAGCCTAATAATCCGGACTTTGCCAATTTAGCCTTGCTTAGGAAGCAAACCAGTTTTAGGAAATCTCTCTCTGGTTGAAATCTTACATCTTCATCTGAGCCAGGAGAACCATCACCATCAGCACCACCAAAATGAGCAGGAGCGGAACGACGACCCATATCACTATTGATGTTTCCTCAGAGCCTTCACACACAGAAATAAGAGTTCAAATGAGAGCACTAAGTGATTTAGGGCGTTACACCCCTGTGGTTGTGTGTTCCAGCTTTACCAATGTGCACGTTAGTCCTATTCCCAGTCGGACCAGTTCCGGCGATGGTGCTGGCACTCATGAAAATGTCATAAATGCCAGGTGACATATTCTCTAGAGTGTAGCGGTGAACATGTCCAGGCACCGTTATACCTGATTAAACATTAAAATTGGGACAAGTGATTACATTTATTGGTCAAAATCACTCAAGTAGCTTACAAAAACACTGTTTAATCTGAAACATGTAAATAACATTCAGTGCAGCCAGTTTCCTTCAGAAATCACCTAATAAGTAAAAGCCTAATACTGTCAATAGTGTGAGATTTATCTCCATATAAATCCAGCTGTTCTGTGAGAGGCTCATATTTTTGTTAGTGTACAAATATCATCATGAGTCCCCAAAGAAAACCAGAGAGGCGAATAAAACAGGTTTAGGTGATAAAAAAAAAATCCCAAGCTATGAGTATGTCACAAATGCAAACCTACTAAAAAAAATCATTTTTTATTTTTTTAAAGACAAGGCAACAACAAAAGATTTGCAAAGCTGAGGATTGTTTAATCTCAGAGAACTGCAGAGATCCTAAGCTCAGGTTTATTTATATAACATCTTTCGCAGGTAAAAGTCCTTTAGCACTACTTTTATTATTATATTAGTGTATAAATGGATTCTGACAATGACTCACTCTTTGCTGGTTGGTTATTGGTGGTGTAATAGAGGGTGTAGTTTCTGATGAAGCCATGAAGCAGCTCCACAGGAACAGGACTCCAACTGAGCTCCACCAAGCTGCCTGAAATGTGCTCCACCTGCACATTAGGACCTGCTGAGGGTGCTGTTGATACAGAAGAGGAAAGAGGTGAGGCAGTGATTAGACCAGAACACTGTTTCAATGATTCATTTTTTTAATTTGTATATATTTCTGGAATCCTTGCTCGTCCTAAGATTAGATAACTTTTACATATTATCAGCTGGTTGTAAAACCTATTTCCTCTTTAGACACATCAGACCCAAAACACTATGACTCATTTTAAAAAGAGTAAACCTTCTTAATCTTAGTTAATCATTGTTTTTAGTTACATTTTTACCCTTTTTGTTTCTAACTAAACCATTTCACATCAATACCATTCTTTTCAACTAAACAAATTCATTTTAAGAGTAAGTTTTGCAAAATGGTCTGTCACTGTTGATAATTCGGGAATGGAGACTCGAAAATGAAGGATAAGGATCGGCTATAAACTCAGTCCAGAAACATCTCTTGAATGATGGTTAAGATGGAGAACATAAGCGTCCTTAGACCTATTTAAGGGTGGCTTCAGTCATCCTTTCTTTGGCATTAGCCACCCTATAATTATTTTGCGATTTAAAATTTTTTTTTTTTTTCTGTATTTATTTTTTCCTCATATTTTCCCAAAACAAATGCAGTAAAGCACCGAATAAAAGCCATAAAGAAGACAAGTTAATCTGAACAATCATAGGCGTAACTTCCTTAAGGACTGGTGGGGACATGTCCCCACCAATATTTTGTACACGTATTTTGCTTTCGGTGCTGTGTATATCTGATTAAAACCCCATTCATGCCGCTCCTAAGAAATAAAATAAAAAAAGTTCTCCCCGCTGCTCACCGTCCACAAACCCCGACAAAAAACTCAGAAAAAAGAATCTGTTGCCTCTCGCTTTCTCCCCATCACCCCCCTCCACCCTCTCCCAATAACACCTGTCGCTTCCCTCCAAAAATGCTAACCCATTCAGGGACAGAAGTGGACTCAGACTTGCAGGTGAGAGGGACTTGTGGAAATATTAAGACCTAATTTTAGTCAGGAGAGACTTAAAGTAGTAAAAGAATAGAGAATAGTGTAAAAATAAGTTAATACCGTATTTAAAATATAACTGAACCGTTGGAAAAAAACCTCAAACCACTCTTTTCCGGCCCTGTTATGTCAGCTACACTAGAGTCCTGCAACGGGTCGGGTACCCGAGAAAAATACATTTAAAAAAATAAACGGGTCGGGCGGATATTTTTTTAGTGCGGGCGGGTAGTTGGTGATTTTTTTTTATGCGTGTGTGTTGTTATGGACATCAGAAATGTTATATTAATCAGGCACTGGGTGCAGCGCAGCGTACAATAGCCTATGATGGGTTAACGGGTCGGGTTGCGGGTTAAATATCAAGGGTCGGGTCGGGTTCGAATTTGAATTGAAGATATCCGCGGGTGACGGGTCGGGTTCGGTAATCATCCTAACGGGTTCGGGCGGGTGCGGGTTGGTAAAACTCGACCCATGCAGGTCTCTAAGCTACACTACATTCAGTATCGTTGCCATAGAAACAGACAACAGCGCCAATATATCAGAATTATACTAAAACACACGCAAATAAATTCCCACATAAAAAACAGGACTTTCAGTCCATTACAGTTTTCTGGTTTTAGAGGGTTGTTTATTTTGCGTTTATTAAGTGATGGCTGTGGTATATTAGCTTTCACTGCTATAAGCTTTCGCAGCAGTGATTGATTAATTTAAACACCTGCTCTACTGATGGTCTATCGGAGTTGGTGTTTAGGTTGAACATAAAGAACACTTTTTATTTGAAGCTTCTTGTAGCTACTGTTTTAATCCCGGCTTTACTTAAAACTTTTTCCTGACTTTGATAGTGTTGCCATTCAGTAGCAAGCACTGCGCCCCTTTTTCTTTTATATGTACACGTACATTTAAGATTTAGCGTGTTAAGTTGACAACTCATGAGCAAGCTGCTTTTTGCAATCTAGCAGGAAAGTAAGGATAGGATCTTGCAGGTGTGACATCACTCTGCAGGGGGTCCAAAGATAAAAGATTTAAACAATTTTGGCATTGGAATTTCAGATTTAAGGGAGTTAGAAAGTTCACTTAGTAAAAGTGCAAATTATAAATCTGATTACCGATTACTTTTAAGCTGGTTGAACATACTGCGACAGACTGGTGACCTGTCCAGGGTGATCCCACCTCTCACCCAGAACGTGGCTAGAGATATGCACCAGCACCTCCTGATCCCACTGAGGGATAAGGTTAAAGAAAATGGATGGTTGAACATAGTCCGCTCTCCCAGATTCTATCAAATCAGTATTGATATACCCTGCTGGTGGATGTTCTTGACAGAAAGACGGAGTTGCTTAATCATATTCTGCTTAAGGTCCCATAAGATCTTGTCCGAGTCCTGGTTTAAAAGTAAATTAATTTTAAAAAGTGACCCAAAATTGACTGTCAATAAATGTTCTACAAAATTGATATATTTATTTGATTTCTTTGATTTGTACTGTCTGTTTAGATTTATGTGATATTTTTTGCACAAAATATATAAGTGAATATTGTAACAGTTATGTTTTCAACTGTAAGCATTAAATTGATAAATGTTATTCGCATTTTTTTGGCTTTATCCTTTCCAACAACAAAAAAAAGGCGTCGCGCAGGTAGCTCCCTTTCCTTATGAGCCGTCCCCACCAACTTTCAACACAAAGTTACACCCTTGTCTTAGACAACGCCTTAGCAGGTGCACTGAAAAAATTTCGGCGCGCGCTTAGCTAAATGTTACACAAAGAGTGTTTGCTTTATTAGGTAGGCCATTGGTTGCTTGTTGTTAGGCAAAGTTTCTAGAGCCGTTGGCCACCCTATCCTCCTCTGATTCCGCTGCTTTGCATAACTACTGCTTCTGCCGGGCATGATCATGCCTTGCTAGGGGTGACCTTGTCTTTTCCTATGAGGTGACTTCAGTATTACCACGAAGAAGTCCTCCCAAGTTAATTTGCATGTTCAGTCCGTTTGAACGGAAACACCCCTATGATGTGTGCACAGTTCGATGTTAATATGGAGTCTGTTCACTGCAGGTGGCTGATGTAGCTGCTGATTCACTGCTAAACTTAAGCCTGGAGTGAAGCTGATCATTCTAGCAAAAACATATTCAAATTACCACTGACAACTCTAAAAACAATTTGAAAGTTGTCAGTGGGATTTGGAGTTTTACTATTTTTGCAAATTTACCAGACAAAAATAAACTGAGTTGCATAAGTCTGCCGACTAATAGTTTCTTAATACTTGAAGAACACCTGGACGTTCCACAAAAAAAGCAAAAAAACGCATTTTTTAACTTTCTTAACATTAAGGTTTGAGGCTCTGATAATAGTTTGCAGAGGACCTTTGGTTCTAATCGTGTTCTGGGTTCATTCTGCATCATTATGTATATTATCCTAATGCATAGGTGTGTTCTACCAGGATTTGAGTGGGGGTTATATAAACTGTATGGATCTATGTTGCACTAATTTTGGCAGGCAACCTCTCTCACAGTAACTGCCAGCCTCATCCACAAACTCATAAGGATAAGCATAAATAAAATTTGAAGAAATAATGCTTATTAGTCTGGAAGGGGATATGAAAAGTAAACCACTCATGGCAGTCTCTAAAATAACTGCGCCCCAATTTGGCCATCCAGGCAATATTACGCTGAAAGCAGCCTGCAAGATGCTAACAGCAGTCGCCTTATAATCAAGTATTCTTCAGGGACCTCAAATCTATTGCTAATGTAGATATGAAACAGTCTTCAACAAGTTTATCCGAGCTCAGGAAGTATGCAGGAATCAACATTTGCTCATTATGGAAAACCACTAAAGCCAGATTGAAGAATGGGACTGACACTGACCAGGAATTCTGGAAATATCTTTTTTTCTTATATGGATGAGTAAAACTGAATTATCGGGACACTACAAGAGTAAAGAACCTTATAGAAAACTGTGAGGTAAAGAGATAGAAGTGTCATAGATTTGACACACAATTAAACCCTCCAACAAGACGATAACTCGTAACAAATCTTATGAGAAACCTCACAGGCAACATTTCCTCTGACCAATGCCAACGACTAGTATGTGACAACAGAAATGTCTCACTGAAGTTATTTCAGCTAAAGAGGCTAAATCACCTATTAAAGGGTCAACTCCCACTTTTTCCTCAGCTAGAGCGACACATTTGTTGATATATATTGGTTTAATATTATATTCCAAGTCAACATTTTCAGCACAAACTACAGTATATATATTTTGCAGATCACATACTTCCTTCCAGGGTATAAACATGGAGTGTCACATTCTTCCCTGCTCCTTGTTCACCATATAGAGCCTTGACAGAGACTGCATAACGTTCTGCTGGCTTCACTCCGTCTAAAAGAGGCAAAAATTCAAAGTGTCAGCCCTAAATCAAATCAAAATGCTATGCATTACAGTATTTTGCAACCGGTCTACCTGTAATAACCAGCTTTGTACAGGAGCTATTCAGCTTTTCCCAGTACAGAACACTGCTGGTTTTTTCCCTCACTGCTAACCACTCCACAACGAAGCCGCTCACTGGAAGATTTGGCGGAGACGTCCAGCGAACCTCCATGCTTCTGTTCCCTGCCAGCGGTTCGACGGTGACTTTGACTGGAGGTGGTGGCTCTGAGGACACAGAAAACAAAGCTGATGTAGCTAATCCAAAGAGTCACAGCGACACAATGAATCATGTTGCCTTTCCTTGATGTTGTTTGCGTTCTTAGAAAAGACAATAAAAGTCACTGTCAGTCAATTAAATGGGTCTTGCAAACACGCACAATCGCTCAGACAGTCTATTCTTCATCTCAATTTTTTTCCACATAACACTGCTTGATGATGTGCTTCACACTAGAACGGAATTGTGTATCAAAAGGAAAAATGATGGTTGGATTTCAACTTTTCTACAATGAAAATATGAAAAGAGAACATTTGCATTCAGCTTCCCAAATAAAATATAAATCTTTGCACATTCCTATTGGCAAATCAGATCTACCTTAGATTGGAAGGAGAGCAAATTTAAATTTAAATAGCATGCTAAGGGTCATTGTCCTGCTCAGCATTTGAACCACTTTCCCAGTTGTCGATATTATGCCGCATCAGACAGGATTTCTTCCAGAGTCGACTTATAATTAGCATCTTCCCAAAAAGAGAACAGTTACCCCATAGCATGATGCTACCACCACCATATATCAATGTTAGATGATGTGGTCAGGGTTTACCATCACATAGGTTGTCAACCATTTATATTTTAGGGCTTATCTGACCAGAACTACTTGTCCCACACATTGCCTCATCACCCATTTAAAACATGTGTAAGGAACTTCTTTCATAAACTGCTTCTATAAAGGCTGGATTTATCAAGTGTTCAAATAGTTACCAAAAACCTCTTGGGAGCTTCCTTGAATACTTCTCTACTTTATGTGGATTTTAGCATTTTCTATCAATTTTGAATGATGGCCAGTGAAATGTTCTAAAACCTAACCAATTATAGAAGCCTTTTTAAAACTTTATCCCTAATGCCTGTATAGATTCTGTCATCCAATGATCTTAAGTACTTAAATGAAAGGAGCCGGACATCTCCTGTTTTCATTTTTTTCTTTTATTTAGACCTTTCATCTCTCTACATCAATGGTTCAAAAGTGCTAAGAGCACCCAGTCTGCTCTTCACTTTTAAGACATTCCTTGTCCTTAACACAGAGATATAAATTGAAAGTGTTATATAAAAGTAGATATGTTTAAGGCAGACTGAAACTTTTGCAATGTTCTGTATCTGACTGTGACTATACCTGTCTCAGAGGAGCCTGGGATCCAGACTCGGTCTTCCGGCGATGTCCCTGCAGAGGTGGAGGCTGTCAGAGAACAGGAGCAACGCACAGCAGGAAGAGCTAATATGCAAGATGTGTTAACATCCAGGAGCGTTCTGCAGCTTCCATTATCTTTAAGAATCTGACCATTCTCTCTCCGACAATACACATTGTAGCGGCGAACTCTGCCATTAGCCAGGAGGCGAGGTAACGGCTAAATGCCCCAAAACAAGAAAACAGGTGAAAAATATTAAATTGAGATGCTTTGATATGAAATACAAACAAATTATATAATTTAAGTCAATAAAAATAAGCTGTAAAACATTTTTGTGTATGTCAGATACACTCCTAAAAATCCAATAAAGGAATGAAAGAATAATTGCATGGCGACAAGGAAACAAATTAAAGATCTGCTACCAGTGATGCCAATAAAAAATAATCACATTGGAAATTTATGAAACTGTAAAAGTTCTAACTGATGCTGTGGGAAATTATTTGGAGAGAACTTATGAGACAAAGGCTGATGTTGACAGTCATGAACATTTACCTTCCAAAGCAGAGAAATGAGCCTCCCTCCGTCCCTGCTGACGTGTACCTCCTCCCTCCAAAGCACCGGTGCAGCCGATGGGACTGGAGAATTGAAGCAAAATTATTACAGTAATTACAGGAGGGCACATCCCAACACGTCAATAAGGAACATGATGATACTGTCATCCAGGGCAAGAATACATTCCCAGTTTTATTACAGCATTGGTGTTCAGAAAACAGTAGGAAAACATAACATCACAACAGCCGACAAACAGTGTTTGTGGTTAGAGAGACTGTGGTTTTGGATGCAGGAAGGCAAGTAAATACGCTGTTTTTTAAACTCTATGTTCTGTCTCATTATGCTTCCTCTAAACGGTGAGAAAAGAGGTAAAATAATCAGATATTCTGACGTGTCCCACTGTTCAGTTGTTCAAAATTTCTAGGCATAATAGGACCTTCCTTATATTATAAGTCAATCTTCCTCATATAACTGCACCACACTGTGTTCTCAACTCATTCAAGCTAAATTTTACAATATCCCCCTAGAACTTCTTGGCAAGGGTGAAAGTCGGTGGCTCATTAATATTTTTTGCTTGTTCTAGTTCTGCAGAAGAAATTATGAGCCTGCATGTCTGGAATATTATGTGCCCAAATGAGCACCGGAAGAAAAATATACAGAGGATTTTTGTGAAGTCTCAATGATTTAATCTTGATTTTTTTGTGCCAAAGAGGGGAACAAGGGATTTCTGTCTTGAAGCATAGTGGTGGCAGCCACTATGCTTGGTGGTTGAGGATTCCTTTATTCAGCAGGTCTTCATTATGCAGGAGGTTAAAATTAGCTAAATAAAAGCTATTAATTCAGCTAAACAGAGCACAAGACTTGAAACTAGAACAGAGGTTCAGCCTTTAAGAAAAGGCATTTTCACATGTTTCAATAACCTAGTCAAAGTCCTGGCCATATCAAAAACTGATTTCAAATATGTGGGAACAGAATGTCGATGTCTATATATGGGTTTGATTTGTTTTACAGTATCAAAAAAACAAAAGTTTCAGTCTTTCCATGTGTGTGTGTGTGTGTGGGGGGGTTAAACGTATTGCATTCCAGCAGTCTGTGTACAAAAGGCAGGGCAGATGGGGTAACCAGATCTATAACCTGAAAGTTTTCTAAATACTTGTGGTTGAAACACTATAAAATGGGAAAAGCCTCCAGGGGTGTGAAAACATTTGAAACAATCCTTAAGATTTTCATCTGTTGTGATTAAATTGTCTTACTGCCTTTGGCTCATAATAAAGAGCTGGGCTAAATTCATCTAACAAGACATTTTATCTCAGACATGTCAAGGCAAAGAGTCAAGAGGCAGTTGCTGAATCAAAACGTCCCAGATAGTAGTTTTATACAACTCTGACAACTGAACTGGCCGGGCCTGTAGAACACGTACTGCTACTCTGCGACTATAACAAGATAAAGCGTGAGCGTATGGAAGGTTAAAACCACAATTTTCCATAAAATCGAAAGCAACAAACAAGTTATTAAATAACTTTACTGGCCTTCCTGAACTTTGCGATTTTAGCTGTTTCGTAAGACCATTCCAGGACACATTATACCATGTGAAATTATTAGTCTTTTGTATGACCTCAAATTCTTTGTTTTTACATAACACTATTCACCTATGACGTAAGACGATAAGCATCTTTATCAGTGTGCACCAGATGAGTGTATGACATATTTGTGCAGCTAGAAACAACAAAAAGAGAATTTGATACAGTTGTGGCTGAGGACGAGACAAATGCAAGATGTGCTATTTTACAGATTTTAAATATCTCACCCCTTTGAGCAGTAGTACAAACATGTCAGCCTGCTGTTAGACAAGCTATTAAATTAACAAAATCAGCTGTTAAGCAGCATGTTCAGGCTAAAATCTTTCAAAAACATATACATGATTAAATTAGTTAATCAATAGTCCAATAATAAAACAAAGGGTATCTAACTTTTGATAGCATGTCTTATTTTCCACCCAAAACTAGGGGTCAATAAACCGTAGACTAAACAAAAATATGTTTCCCAGTCCTGAGGTATCCTCTGCTGTTATTGTATAGCCCAGGCGGTCACAGCAGTCACCACAAAGCACCCATTACACAGCTGTAGTGAAACAGCTGTGAGTCACGCTGCACATCCCCATGACCAATTTCTAGGAACAGCTCTCTGGATCAGCTCAGTGTCACATGAAACTTTTCAATGATAACGCTTCTCCCCATCATCAGTCTGTAGTCAGACACTGCGTACACTGCATAAAAAAATTAGCCTTTTCCAGACGTTGCCAGAGGACGTCTGCTTTGTTGTCTCCATTGAGCCAACGATGATAAATCTCACCACAATTAAGAATGTGGAAGAGAATTGTCACACTTAGAGGATACAATTGCATTGAAATCTGTGTTAGCACATGTGCTACATGTAGTGTGGTGTTGTACGATTGTAGTCTGTTACAGAGATGGGAAGTAACGAAGTACAAATACTTCGTTACTGTACTCAAGTAGATTTTTCTGATATTTTTACTTTACTTTACTACTTATTTTTATGGCGACTTTTTACTTCTACTCCTTTTTTTACATTTTTACACAATATCTGTACTTTCTACTCTTTACATTTTAAAAAATTGGCTCGTTACTTTAGTTTTGAATCATTTCAATGGAGTTACCGTTATTATTTTTCAGGTCATCAATACCAAATTCAATCTAATTGGATGGGAATCTACGTTGCATTTGACACACCACTACAAGATGAATCGACAGATTCGGCGGTATTCATTGGCGGCAAATCATTGCAGCTTGGTGGCGGTGGCGTTAGCATAGTAGTATGGACAGCGAGATGATTGAAAATGGACACAACGGAGATCTAGTCCTATTGGCAGACATCCATTTAAAATGTAGGCAACGGCATGAAAAAAGTGGTTTCTACTTTTACTTTTATACTTTAAGTAAATTTACAAGCCTGTACTTTGTTACTTTTACTTGAGTAAGGATGTTTAATCAGTACTTCCACTTTTACCAGAGTATTTTTTAACACAAGTATCTGTACTTTTACTCAAGTACAGAAAGTGAGTACTTTTGCCATTTCTGGTCTGTGATAGTCTCTCCATTTAAGTTAGCCAAAATATTCAATACAGTTTTATATGAACAGGGAAAAGCTTTGTAGTATGAAAATCAGGGAAACGCTATATCGGTAAAGATCCGTGCATAGAGCACAATCCATAACCCAGCCTCTGTCTGTGAAATTGTACAACTTTTCAGTTAAATTAAACAATATTTTCTCTATTTGAAATGCAAACCTTGATTGTGCTTGGTGCTTTATTAAAATACAACCACCACATAATAAATGTACCTACATTTTACCAGTGGTGGGTGCAAATTTGCTTCCACCACTGCTTTTTTTTTTTTTTGCTCTTATCAAAGCACACAGGAAAGGCTCACCATTACAGGAACTGATCTTTTTTTATTTTTTTATTTAAGGGGAACACTGTCTAAAACCTGCAAACTCTTTCCCAATATGCCAAAACTCTCTCCCTTCCTTAAGCTCTTGTAATTTCATGTTGCAGATGATTGTTGTGGTTATTAAATTATTAGCTCATCTTAAATAATATTTTACATTACACACAATAAAATTAATATTTTAGTTTTATATTTATGTGAAAATGTGACAAATTTACATTTATCGGGATATTCCTGTATCAGCAGTTTCCACAGTTACTGCTGTTATTTCACAAATAATATTTAATACTCTGGCTGCTGGTTATTGCACATGTTTCTCTTCTGTGATTCATAAAATCCTTCTAAAGACAGATTAACTTTTATTTATCTTCTCGCTCAGTTATTACTATGGTGCATGTCAAGCATCAAGTGCATTCCTATTTACCGATATGTAGACTTAGGTCTGTAGCAGCTGTAACACTGTAAAATATTACATTTAAATATCAGCAAGTGTCAGATAATCAGTACTGGTTATCTTTGGTCAAAAATCAACTATGCCATGTTTTAATTGAAGCATGTTACGTATTGATAATTCAAAGAATCTGTTGTTCTTAAAAATTACTAATATTTAACACTGCCTTTCAATATCAAAAAAAGATGAAACCAAATAGCAAAAAAAAAAAATGATCCAGGATTTGCAGCATGCATGTTACTCACTTGTTCAAGTCTGCTTATGCTCGCTTTGTGTCATTAAGGTTTAAGGTCATATTCCTTCTACGCAGCTGTCTCTGAGTCCTACGATGACATTTAAATCTAGTTTAAGTTGATTAAGTTGATAATTAAATATTGAGTCGTTTCCTTTCTTTCTTAGAAAGGATGTTGTGGATTGACAGCTTCATTAGAAATGAGGGCTCTGATGTATGCTCTAGTTTGGTGTAAAAATAACTCGGATTTGACTCAAAACAAGTCCTCCAATTCTGTGACACCAGTAGTTTCATATCGATCAAGATCTTGTTTCAACTCACCATCCTCTGCTGTTGTTCCCTCACATGCGTTGCTCCATTTGCTCCATGGGCTTGCCGGACCTTGGTAGCGGTGTCTGAGCCTTATTCTATAGAAGGTGTCTGGACTGAAGAAGCACACCAAGAAACTGTATCCAGTTACTGTTACATTCCTGACCTGAACATTTGCCTGTTTAGATGAGAGAAACAAACAAATGACCTTCTGTTAAACAGAACATTTACTGTGCTCTGCTTTTTTGCACTTCATGTGTATATACATAAATATATATCTTTAAAATTTTTGACTTCATGTATGCCTTGAAAAAATTTCTCACTAAAGTTCAATCTGAAAAACTCACACTAAGAGAAAAGACAATTAGGAGAAATTTACTGATACAATTAGTTTGTCTTTGGCGCTCAGACCTTGGCAGGAAATATAGAGCTTAAGTTTGATAGATATGCATGAACAGGAGCAAAGAATATGGCTGCCTCCCCCCAGGCCTGAAACTGGTGGTGGAGTGGAGATAGATGAACTTGGTCAGTCTATAGACTGCTGGTTAGCGAGACGGTACGCTGAGCTTTATGGGGAGATCTAGTGGACTGCGTGAGCTGATACTAGAGCTTCACTCAGGGACCTGGAAGATGGAAGTCTCGTTGGATAACATGGGTTGAGAGAACCTGTCCATGATGAGCAAGCATGAAGCGACAGTGGAGAGGAAAAATTCCTCGCTGGGAAGAAAACTCTGGCAGAGCCAAGCTCAACATGGCGGCCTTCTGCCGGACTGTTTAAGAGAGACAGGGAATGCAGTAAGAGTCCTGGAGTAATGAACTCTGATGAAGCTTTAGCTACGTTGGTGGAGGTGGGGCTGGGTTGAAACAGTGTCATCTGAATGCAGAAGCCTTTTCAGCTCTGATCACAAATTTATCCATAAGATTGGATTCAGGGCTTTAAGAAGGCCACACTCACTGCCTTTTTTTTACTTAGGCCACTTTATAACAAACGTCTTGCTATACCTAGGATCATTGTTCATTTGGACGATCGACTTGCACAAGATAGTTATTTCCAGGACAAAGTCTTGAGGTACTGCTTCTGTATTTACACATAATGGTCTTAAATAATGATGCAGTCTATCTTAGGATCTCTGAAAATCTCTGCTCAACCGAAAACACCCACAAAGTGAGGTTCTCTGGCTCTAAATGGTTCCCCTTTCTGCCACTTATTTATTAGGCTCAAGGCAACTCTAGCACACCGTGGGCCCATTTCAGGGTATATGAGGTGACCAGATCTAAAAAAAGAAATGTGGGACAACTAGGTTGATTATGTGGATCAGACTCAGTTGCACTTTTCTTTTATGACTAACTTTTAGTGTGTTTACGTCATGCTCTCCTTGTTACAATTTTAAAGATAACTTTTGCAATCTGTATGTAAATCGATGTGTAAATCGTTCCATAAATCGATGTAATGCAGGGCATTACATCGATTTATGGAACAGTAGGACAGAAGGGAAAAATATGTGACTGTCTCTCACAAATCAGGACATCTGATCACCCAACGGGTACGCCCTGGATAGGGTGCCCAACCATCACATAGACACACAACCATTCACATACACTTAGAGCAATTTAGATACTGAAATTAACCTAAGGGTCATGTTTTTGGCTGGAAAAGGAAGCCGGAGTACCCAGACAGATCTATGCATGCACAGGGAGAACATGCAAACTTAATGCAAAAGACCAGGAATTTAACCAAGGGTATTCTTGCTGCAAGACACCAGTGCTACAAACTGCAGTGCTGTTGTTGTCGGAAAATTTTTATCTCTCTTCTATTATATACTAATTTATCCTATTTACTCACTATAAAAGTTTTCACTTAGTCTGTTTCTCTCTCAAGGCCACACAATTCTCTGCAGGATGGTGTTTGTAGACCAGACATAGCTTCTTCCCATAAAAAATCTGATTTTCTCAAGGTTTATTCATAAGATGGTACTGTTTAACCAAAGTGTGTGTAATTTGTTATGACTCTGACTACTTTCCATTGTTGTACGAACGCTGCCCAGATCAGAACAGAGCAGAATGCTGTGCCATAAGGGCTGTATGATGACTGTTCTCTCTTTGCAAAGATAAGAATAAATGTGCTGACTGAGTGAAATCCATCGATCTCCATTTATCTAACCAGGATGAATAGTTGAATACTTTTTTCCCAAGACAGCTGTGTAGTTTCTTCATTAAGGAAATATCCTGATTTAAGTATCAGTCTATATGACTTGCAAATAAAAGTTGCAGGATTTATTTCTGTATGAATTTACAAACGGTTTACAAACATTGCTTTTGAACTACCCCAAAAATATTCAGCCTTAAGGTGTTTTCTTTATTAAGGGTATGATGGTTTGATATTTAAAGCATGTTTATACTTGCTGATATCAATTAAAGAGGGTGTTTCTAACCTTAAAATAAATCCATATGAATAATCTATAGATACTGAAGTTATTTGTCATTTCTGTGGTTAAAATGTGACCAAAAGCAAAGTGATTGAACATTTCTCTAAAAATATACATAATATCAATATATTTTGTGACTTTTTTCACAAAAATACAGATATCATTTTCAACATTTAGCTACCTGATTTTAGTTTGTCAGATTTATTGTCAGACAGTGAGAAAATAAGGTTATTGGTCTCTTTCCAATTATATTTAATTTCAATTTTTAACCTCGACTGAGTAAAAAAAATATTTTTGGCAGAACACATTTTAATCAAGCGAGCCAAATTGTCAAATATTGTTTACATTTGCTACAAAGAATGATAAAAAGGTTTTTGTAATCAGGCAGGAAAATGCTGGATTTATAATTATAAAAATTTTAAGCCCTTAAAGAGTCAATTTTTGAATGGAAATTAATCAGAGGTAAAATAACTTCAAGAATGCAAATAATGTTGGAATATTTAGACATTTTCCAAACTTTGTAAAAATATAAACAATGCAGTCTTAATTTCAATATATGTGGAATAAACAGCATTACATCATCAGCATATAAAGACATCAGCCAGAAGTAGCTGAGGGCTCAATAGCTTTGAGCTTTCTGAGTTAGTAAGCATTGTGGAACATTTCAACATATTTCTAAGTTCAATTTCCTCTTGATTTTCATTTCATAATTTCATATAGCTTACCTGCCCCTTTACTGCAAACTCTATTTGAGAATTCAAGTTCCCTTGTTTGATTTCTGTCTCCGTAACGCTAAAATCCATGATAGTGCTCCAGAACACTTTCAGACACTTAGGGGAACCATTAACCTGTTGGACGTTGTCCAAAATCGCAGGATGCAAGATCACTAAGTCAAACAAAAAGCGAAAGGTCAGGACATTGTAATGAATAAATATTGATGCTACAGTTGAGTTGAAACTCCCCACAAGCTTACCTTCTTTTCTCGCAGGCTGACACCGAGGTTCTGATGAAACATTTCCACTTACACTGTGTGATATAACGGTGATGCAGAAGTCAAACTTGATTCCAGAGGTAAGGCTTGCTGTGCAGCTCAACCTAGATGTGCTACAGGTGAATAAGGCTTTGGAGCAGTTTGGACTCTGGTAATGAATACCACATGAGCTGAAAAACACAGACATAGACAAAAAACCCTGAAGATATAGAATATCTTGAAGAAGCATGAAAGACTTCTTAAACTTAACGTGCTCTAGTGATATTTCACGCAATAGTAACAAAGTAAACATTTTTTTTTTCTAATTCCATCTGATAAAAATCTGAAAGGTGCATTGTGTATTTGTGTCCTCCGAGGAAATACTTTGCAGAACTAACTTTGATGTTTCGCTATATAGAAAAGCATCCCCACAGCATGATCCTGCCACTTTTATGTATAGCTATGGGGATCTTGTGTTTGGGGAGCTTTACAATTCAGCTTTGGCTCCACACACACATTATTTTGTATTTAAGTCCCTTCCTGGCTGCTTCACAACTCAAAACTCTCTTTATGAGTTTTTGAAAGATATTCTTTATAACATGAAGTAGCTTTAAACTTTGGTCTTTTATATTCCATGGTGGTCATGATGCTTTTTGTTCAATTACCAACATGGCTTGCACTATCAACATGGCAGATTTTTTCATAACCCCTAATACTGATTTTTATTACTGATATTTTCATAATCCCTTCTACCGCATTTTGCACCATATCTATTTATTTTGCATACACTGAACCTTTCCATATCAAGCGCCTTTTACAGCATGACTTTCAATTGCTTTTCTTTTTTCTCCTACACTGTCTGCATTCTGATCACTGCTGCACTTTATAAATGGTTATGTTCATTTCACTGTTGTAAGCTGCCCATTCACTGTTGAAAAGCTGTATGCATCGAAATAAAGTTTGTCTAAGTCTAATTATGTTCTTTGACAAACTTCTTGGGGCTATCAGAGATGCTTTCCAAATTTTGGGAGATTTATTTAGTGAAAACCTACTTGAAATAATTTTCCCCAAAAAATTCACAATTTTGTGCCAACCTAACACATGAAATCCTCGTAAAAACGCATTCAACTTTGTAACAAGAAAAGGACATAATGTAAAAAATATGATCAAGAAACATTAAAGTTTGAAAGTGAATATATCTATGCAAATTGCAGACACCTGTTGTAAATTATTCTTGCTCATGGCAGAACCTATTTGAATATAATATTACAACAGACTACAGCTTTCACTGGACATTGTAACCTTAAAAATATTCCTTATAAAAAAAACAGGAAAAGGAAAACCTAAACTTAATCAACAATGTGGTTAACAATTGACATAAAAAAACCTATAAAAAAAAAAACGATTGCAAAATGTACCAAGATATCAAAAAGGAACAAATCAACTTAGCCAATCCCAACCAAGAATGTTGTAAGAAAATGTCCAGCATGTACAGATGAAGTGAGTCTGCTGTGCTGAGCTGTAAAATAAAAGTTATATGCTGCAAAATACCTGATTGTCTATTAGTGTTAGCTTTAAGCAAACGCGACTCTGATAGTACAGATATACAATTCTTTGCAGAAATGCATTTAAATGTCTTGCTTTTATTGAAAACAACCCTAACATGCAAACACTGGACTAAGAGGAAGTGCATGACGAAAGTTTCCTTATCAAATGTAAACAGAGCGTGCCATGACATATCAAAGGTACATCTGAGATAGCATCAAAGAGTGTGCATCCTTCCTAGCTCAGAAGAAGATGTTTCCTTAACATCAAAACCTCAAAGCTGTTTTTTTAACGTTCAACTTTGCTCCTATTTAGGGCTAATCTGTCTTTCAAATCAGTTTTACTAATAAATGGTTGCTGGTGTGCATTTTTTTTTTTTATGTAAAAATGAATTTGGGCTACAGGTGAAATTAAACATGCCTATATCTGTCTGTCATGTGGAACTTGAAAGAGTTTGGTTTCAAGGGTAAAATTGCCTGTCAAAATATAGTAAACAGATAAAGTTATCCAAATTAAGGTATTACGTCTTCAAAAGCTAAAATAGAAAAGCCAAATAGTACAAACTGATAGTAAGAACAAGTGCCAGCAGCAATAACTTCCAAACATGGAGTACTAAATGACAGCTAGAAAACGTCTATTGAAGTAGCATCATTCATTTGCTAGAATCCAGTTTTAATACATGCATTACATTATTGATTAATGCCATCTTTAAAATTGATGTATTTTAAGAATATTCAGTGTTTTCATCTAATAACATTTACATTTAAAATGATTATTCGATATTTTCATTCCATTTTTTATATAAAAAAAATAAAAACAAGTTTTACTCTCCACTAAACACATTATAATGTGAGCAACGAAAAAAAGACTGCAGGTTTTATGTCCTAAAATAGACTAAACAAACTGAATATAAAGAATTTCAGGTTTCTATTTCAGGAAGAAAATTACCCTCGTTCTATATTGGCTTATAAAAGGAAAGAATGAAGTTCTGCAAAACTAACTAAACTTAGCTGAATTTTAAATATCAAAACAAAAGTGTAATGTTTGATAAGTCTTTGGATATTGTTTGTACCTAAACACAAAGAGTTCCCGGTGTGATGGCGATGCCAAAGTGGATCACTGTGGAAATTAGTCGAGCAATTGAATTTTCTACAATAGCAAGTTGTTCCTTATAGACAACAGCTACATATATTCTAACAACTTTCCAGTTAGTGAGTTATTTTGCAGATATACATCATTAAACTATAACGAATTATGGTCAGATGAAACAGGCAATCGTATACTAAGAATTTATTTTGAAGAGCAAAATGGCAAAGCTGTTTTCTTATATCACAAATTATCATGAGACAAAATGAAGCAGCTATTTGGTTCCTAATCATTTTTAATGTTTTTGGATGCTTTACATATTCAAAAAGGGATGCATTGGGAAGATGAAACAGGCCAATTTTGGGGAAATTGCCTGATAACAATATAGTACCACAAAAGAAGGGTAGCTGATTACCCTAATATACCAAATCATTTAACACTTTGTCATACCTAGGCACTCTCACAACTTCAAGGGTGTAGAATGTGGCTGGATTGTCTCCAGGCTCCCAATAGCAGGTGACGTTACTTCGTTGTATGAACTCACATTTGATGAGCTTTGGCGGTGCGGGGATGGCCTTGGATGTTACTGATGTGAAGGCTGGAGGATTGAATATTGAGAACAGCTGAGGTCAACAACATCAAAGAGGTCATGCACCAAATCCCTCAACAAGAAATAAAGTAAATCAAGAGGTATTGGCCTTTTGTTTAATTTTTAACAGAATATATTTTACTTAGTTTTATACAAGATTTTGTATAAGATTTATAATTTTATATTTGGTAATGTTTGGATTACTTTAGTTAATTTTAGACCCTCCAATTAATTTAGCAGATTAGAAACACACGAAGGGGGGTCAGGATTTGACGACAGGAGGATTTTTGTAAAAAAATATGTTTTTAACACTTTTGATCATTTTTGGAAGTTGTAACATCACATTAAGTTAGCTTTTTTATTTTTATTTTTTTATCTAATTTGTCAGATATTTTTTTGATATTTTGTCCCGATTTTTGCTCTATAGAAAAAACAGTGCAAAAAGTTTGTGATGTTTTACAAAAGTAAACTAACTTACAACATGAGAAACGTTTATTTTTCACCCTGGTTTGACTTTTGCATCACCGTTGTGATATGATTTACATTTTTATAGATGAATAAAACTTTCCTTTCAGGAGCATTCTCAAAAAAATAATACAAAATTCTATTTAAACACATTTATCACTTAAAATAAATACGCATTGAGGAATAACAATCATTACCACATTTTAAGTTGGCAGTGATGCACTTGCTGGCAGCCTCAACAGTTAAAACATAAATGGAAATTGAACCTTTTTGAAAAGTTCCTGATGATCTGTAGATTAGCAGTCCACGATTTATTTTATCTCTAAAATATACTTAATATCTGAAAAGAAAGAGAAGTTAAGAGAACACTGTGTGCAACTAAGGTAGACGTATGTTAACATTCATACAGAAAAACATTAGTAACCTCATTTTAGCATTAGGTTTCTTTAGTCGGGGGAAAAACATTTCAAAACATTAAACCACTGGAAGTGATATCATTAAAATAGATTTATATGGTCACAGTTATAGGGGCGATAAAAATGCTGAAGAAAGAAAAAAATCTAAATCAGCAGCTAATTTTTCCCTTTCAGATTATCCTGCTGCACAGAATAATAATCCTATTGTGGTTGTTTTTACACATATTTAAGAGGAATGCTAATAAAATTAAAAGGTATTATGTAGGGGAAATTTAATTAAATGTTTGTCACCTGCTGTTTGCCCCAAGGCTTTATCAGAAGCTCCAGATGCTGCAAGACGGTTGCTTTGATTTGGCAACCAATCTGCAACACACCTTACCACAGACCATGTAGGAGTATTTAACGTTATTATACATGTCGCAATAACTAAAATACCTCAGATAATTTTGGAAATATATATATATATATATATATATATATTTGGACTACATTACCTCATCAACTGATAAAACAAAATTATTAGATTCATATTGTCACCCATCTGCAGGGAGCTGCAAGGTTATTTTTGAGAACGCATTTAAATGTGACAAACAGATCATAGATTTTGTCAAGACAAGCTTTTTTTTTAACTCCATCATTTCAGTAAAAATAAAACCTACATCCTTCATGACCAGTTTAAGACAGTAATGCATGCATTTATTGAAACTCCTCCTATACTGATGTTGATCAGGTAATGCTAATCCCTCTGTAAAGAGTCAAAGAAGCAGCCGCTCGCCTCCTTATTGCCTTCCTATTTAATACAAAATTCAATTTCTCTGCAAACATTCTTCACAGCTTGCCACATACTGCTTATGTACTACTTAAAGAACCACATTTTCAAACTAAACAAAATATTTTCTGTGGTGGAGCTCTGGAAGTACTTGCCTCTGAGTTCAGTTTAGAAATGTTGTGTTTCTGCTAGTTTGACTTTGTTCAAGTATGTTTTCTTTTTTAGATGTGCTATATAACTAACCTGGAGTTGACCTCTTTCCAAATAGTAAAGGCTCATATTGATTGACTTTTTTAGTGCCGCTTGTGATCGGTTTGGAGACTTGAACATGAATTTTCAGTTTTTTTCAAAAATAAATGAATAGAAATGTGCACTAGAGGGTCAAAGTAGCAACTTCAGGTACACTAAAAGGGTTTGTCATATATTGTGTTTGCTTTTTCTTGATCTGTGAAACAACAACCACACACTTAACAGGCTAAATGTCAGTAAGAGGCACAAGCTCACAATCTGTTTTAGAGAAAACAAAAATGAAGAAGTGATTGTTACCCAGAAAAAGTCCAGCCCCCAGCAGGCAGGTCCAAACCCCGGCTAATCTTTGCTCCATGAACATCCAAAGGTCCCTCACCCAGTTTCTCCCATGGTGCTGGCAGCAACCCAGCTCAAACACTCAGACTGCTGAAAGAGTCCTGGTTCATTAGTTAGGGTGAATTAAACATTTGGCAGATTTATTGATACTTTGAAATTCGTTATAGAACAAGTTTTTCTACATGCATGACTTTGAATCTGTACATTCCCATGGCGCTCACAACAACACGATGCCATTTGGTAAAACAGAATCAATTGTATTTTAAAATTAGTCAACTTTGTCTCAAAAATATACATCATCAGTGTATGTGTTTCTCTGTATGGCTTCTTACAGTCATATTAACCCTGCTTAGCGATGCCAAATATGTCTTTTACTGCTTTACCAGTGGTTCCAAGACTTCCTCATACAAAATAGAGATTTTAGGTGCAGGCTGATGTAATTTCAGTAGTTATTTTTTTTGCCCGATATCAGATATAGGAACGATATCTATATCAGATTGAGACATCCTTGAAAATACACACATTTAAAATAACAATAAAAAATCCCTCAACTTAAATTCCAAAAGGTATTAAAGTATTGAATGATTGATTGATTATTTCCTTACCCATTAAAATAATGGACGTTCCATTGTCACGGGTAAATAAAATCTCTCAAAGGAAGCTCAGTGAATTCCAGAGTGGTGCTGTCATAGCACCCATACAAGTCTGATCGGGAAATATTCTCTGTTCCCATAACATTTCTATAAAACTTGATTTGTTTATTCCACACTTTAAACTGCCAGGTGTATTTATGTCGACTGTAGGTTGCAAAGGCTGGTATCCTGCACCTTTTAGACGTGTCTTTGCTTTAACACACCTACCGGTAAATCAAATTATCAGTAGAACTTTCCTGAACTTGACTGCCTGCTGAGGAGGTAATCAGGTCATTTGATTCAGTAATATTGGATGAGGGATCGATCTTAAGGGTGCAGGATACCGGCGCTCCAAGACTTGAGCTTGACACCCCTGCAACTTAAAGCATTGGATGTGCTGATACTGTAAAACAGTAACAGTGAACCTTTGTTGTTTATTAGACCTTCTTACCAAACATCAGTTTATGACCTCACAAATATCCTGGAATTAAGGGTGGATATACAGCATAACGAACCCCATGAATTTAGGCAGGAGAGCAAATATTTTTTGCATGTTAGTGTATAATCTATCTGTCTCTCTGATTTTATTTTCATATGTCAGGTTGAAAGTTATTGATGTTATGCTCCTTCCACCTGTCATCTTCTGTGAAGTTGGGAAAGGATCAGATTGGAACTTGGATGAATCTTAGTCATGCATTATTAATAAAACTTCAGAGTGTCCATATAGGGATCAACACAAAATCTGTATTTATTATTCATTTGATCAAGGCTCAAAACTGATTTATAAAACATTTGTTATTTTTTACACTTTGTGAATCTTTTTATTTTTTTAACCAGCATTCAGCATGCCTGTTTATAAAAGAAGAGGTAAAAAAAAAAAAAGTCTAGTCTTTACACTTTTAATACCCCTGCAGGATTAATCATCTTCAACAGCAACTCATTTCCTCCAAACAGCGGCAAAGTTTACAAACACAATTAATACAACTTTAAGCATAATTTCAATTAACAAAATTAACATTTAATATTGAGATCAGCAATAGATAGATTCAAGTCTGATCTAAATTTTGCTCTATGATGAAACTTTATGTTATTTACCCCCACTCTAATTAACCCGCGTTGTCCCGCAAAGCGTCATAAAGCAGGTTCATGTTTTATTCCAGATGTTTACTCACCATGGTGGGTTTCTCTCCGCTACATGGACCTCATCGAGCTGCTCTGCTGCGGTTGTGCAACATGTGCGGTTCGTGATAAACATCTGATCCGCCCCGCTGCGTGTCATTACCACGGAACAGCGTGGGCTGTGTGGGAGGGGTTCCCAAAATAATGAACAACTTTTAAAGCGTGGATTTAATAAACCCTGATTTTTAAAAACGCATAGATCAAATTTTCTATATTAAAACGATCAAAAATAAAAGGTTACCAGTAAATAAGTCTTCAAAACCTTTTTTTTGTGTCTCCTAATGAAGCCTTCATTGGTGCCACAAGTTTATCTTATGAGAAAAATTAGAAATGATGAGTGCACAACTGCCTGCCTGCTTCAGGATGTCTGTTGGAGTATTTTCCCCCAAATGCTGTTTTCTGCTCTAATGATTTCCTAGTGATGCTGCAACTTGTCACATTCATAATAGCACACTGAATTACTCTAAGGTGCATTAGACACATATTAAGGTGAGTCACTTCTTTCATGAGAACAACAACAAAAAAAGAGGTAAAACTATGCCAGAAAAAAAAACAAAAAAACAAAGTTGAACTTGAAATGAGTTAACTTCCTGCTTAAGAGGATATGTTTGTTAATATAAAATTGTAAAAACTGATGTCAGATCTACAGTGTTTAGACCAGTGGTGGATCTTGGGGGTGGCTACTTGGGCTACAGCCCTGGATGTTTTCCCAAAAGCCCCAGATCTAAGAGCTGATCTGTGTAAAATGTGCAGTACTGGAATTCACCAGAGAGTGGCAGCATGCAGAAGCAGAAGTGTTTCCCTCTGCTTTCCAGCTCAGTCCAGGTGGCTAAAATATTAGATTTTCCTCTCATAACTCTGGTAAATAATGATCAAATGTCACAAAATCCACAGGATCTGTTGTTGATGAAGAGAGGAATAAACACAGTTAAAGACTTGCAGGTAGATAAAATTATTCCCATGTTATGGAGGGGGAACAGATAATTTCAGGCAGCTGAAATATCCATTCTATCCTCCTCCTCCCATATCTTAGGAAATATGTGTGATAGCATGTCATATGCCTGAAATTTTCCTAATCCAGTAATCTGTCATATTTTACATCAGAATGGGATTTACCAGAAAACCTACACTCTCACCTTCACCCTCAGGGCTCAGCCCCTGACCTCCTAGAATCCTAGATCCGCCCCTGGTTTAGATACTGTCTACAAAATCACTACATCCATCTACCAAATGCTCTCATTACCGGAGCAGGAACACCAAAGCTACACAGCCCAGACTTCACTAAATAGGATTGTTCTGCTCCATCATGTCCCAAAATGCTGCTGAAAGATGGAAAATAAAAATTGCAAATGAACTGATTTAAATTATTACCTTTTAATTTGAAACCCTTTTTTTCCCCATTTTTGTTCAAATGAAAGAATCTGATCTCGATCCAAATCATCTCCTCTACTAAAACCTAGAACTTTTAATAACTTTAAAGTTTACTTTGTGGTCACAAAAATTATTTACTTAGCTATTAAAAACTGAATAGATGCCTATCAATATAGTAATCAATCCAAGTGATTATTTTGAATGTTTGCGCCTTTATTTATCATCTTTTGGTGTTACTGCTAAATCTACTCAAGCTTCTTTTTATCTGGTAGAGATTGTTCCATGAACTATAGGATTAATTTTACAGATTGATATTGCTAGCTTATTGAACTGATTAGTTTTGTCCGGACTCCAGTCTGTGTGTTTGTCTTTTTTGTGTTGTTCTCCCTTCCACCAGCAGGAGGCGCCTGGTTGTGGTCCGCCTCCTCACACACCTGATGATGGTTGCCTCATTAGCGGAGTGTTCTAACCCCTTGCTCACACTGGCTCCGGTGCGGTTACCGAGCCGACAGAGACCGCAACTCCCGCACACCCCCTCTCACACTGCCCTTTTGACTACGGTGCGGTGCGGCTCTGCGGCTCCGGCAACAGGTCCGGAGATTTAACAGAAGTTCATTTGAGTTCACGTAACTTCACGCGATAACACGGCCCAAATAAAGGATTTTTGCGAGAGCTTGTTGCGGAGGGCTCCGGCACGCCGCAAGGATAGCTTTCTTGCGGAATTTTCTGCAGCGCCGGAGTGTCTCGGTAACCGCAGCCGGACAGCTCAGCAGCCGGTGAGAGAGGTTTACGTCTTTTTAATGACTTGGAATCACTGCGGCGCCGCACCCACCGCACCGCAACGGTAAGACCGGAGTCGGTGTGAGCCTGGGGTTAAGCTGCTGATAGCGACGCCTAACCTGACAACAGCCAGATGCATGTCTCACTCCGCCTAGCTCCGCTCACATACATCTGGGAACCCGCCATAGGAATTGCCTTTACTGAAGGCTGGGCCTTATCAAAACTCCTTGCATATGATTGGATAAGCCACTTGTCTGTCATCTTTATTGACGTGCTATTTCAACCACTCACACCGAAGCTAACCCGTGACGCTGTGAGAGGAGGAGCCATTTGGTAGATCAAGCTCTTGCCAAATCCGGTCGGGAGAAGGGCGAAAACATCGTTTCCACCAACAAAAGCCTTCAAAGCCGTTCTCTGATGTTCTTTTAATGAAACAATATCAGATAGATTGGACAACACAGAAGAAATAGCAGCATCGAGGCTAACGCTTGCTTCCTCAATGCGAGCCGCCATTGTTGTTGGAATCTCACTGTCGCTTCTCCACCCCAGGACACACCCACCCTGCGTCCTGATTGGACAGACCATAAATTCGGTTGGGGAAATCACTTTCAATGAGCGGGTTCCCAGATGTATGTGAGTGGAGCTGGGCGGAGCGAGACATGCATCTGGCTGCTGTCAGGTTAAGCGACGCCAGAGTGTTTGCCAGTTTTGGGTACTCTAGCCAAGCTGAGTTTTGCTGAGTAAGACTGAGTGCTTGTCAACCCCAGTTTTAACTTAATTCTTTGTCTTTTCTCTTGGCAGGAAGTCTTCCTGCGAACTGGACCTTTCGGACCTTCACTCCCTGAAGGAATCGACTGAGCCTTAAACCGAGCTGGGGATTCAAACTGGAGGTTTGAATCCTTCTTCCTTGAAAGGGAAGTTGAATCTACTCTCCATTTCAACCCGTTCAAGTACAGCAGTAAATCTGAGTGGCAGTCAGTTTCTCCATTCACCAACAACCATCCAAGTTCTGGGTAAACCCTGTTTCGCCCTCCACCGAATCAAAATAACTCCGATCAGATCGGAGACAATGATCCTACAACTTCTCTGGAAACGTGAGTGGACCTTCAGATCCTCTTCTCCATATCCACTTTCCCATTGAGCCTGAACTATTGTTTGTCTTCCCTTCCCCTTCCAGTTCCGGTTGAGCTGAGTTCAGGGCAACTCAGCACCGAGCCTTATCTCTTCAATAAAACTCTCTGTTTGGTCTTCTGCATTTTTGGGTCAGACCTTTAGTAAATCATGACAAGTTTATAAACATTAATTTAATTTAACTTTGGTCAATATTGCCGGAACACTAAAACCAGTAATGAGAAAGGAAAGCAAATGTGCAAAAAGTATTTTCATGCAGTACAATGAATGAGGAAATCATTGGGACACGTTTGAACTATTTTAATTTCCATATCACAGCAAACTCACAGTACTTTCTGCAAGATTTGTTTATACATTAAATATATTCAAGTGAAGAGAGATATATGTTACACTTATTAAAAAGGAAAAAAAAGATTATCTATTTAAGTAAAAACCAGAGAGGGTAATGACTATGAGTAGAGATTTACAGAGCATAAACATAATTTTGGAGTGGTCTAGTTAAATCTTGGGCTTTTACCCGATAAGGACTTCGTTACATGACATCAAGGAAGCTGTTCATGCCCAAAGTTCTTTAATGTGGCTGAATTTAAACATCCTCCTCCTCAGTAAAAGGACCAAATAAATGCCTGTAATGGTCTTTCTGGAAGTAGGTGCCAATCTTAACTTTCAAGACTTAATAAAAATAGGGGGAAAAAGTCCTAAAATTCTCCCTTGAGGAAATAGCAAACTTAATTTAAGAAAAAAAGAATGCACCCAATCAATTGCATATGCCATCTCTTAGAAAAAAAAACCTACACAGTGATGCTTTTGTTTCAGATGATGGCAGTTTATGTGCTTCTCATAAGGTGATAACACTCTGATACATCAAGACAACAGTTGTAAAACCATTAGTCTTTAAGGAGTCTAAAATCAATCAGCTAATTCCAAAAATATTAAACCCTAAGGCAATAGATGGAGCAAATGAGTTTAAGGTTGCTTAAATTGAAAATAATCTTATTGAGCCTTGAAAACTAAATTGAGAACAACAGAAATCTCTCCAGGGATAACATGAGTCACCATTCCTTTGAACTATATTTCCGAGGCAGAGGCAAACAGAGCTCCTGTATTCGAGTGGAGGGATTAGCAGAGCGAGCAGCCCGGCTAACAACATACGGGTTGTACCCCTCAAACAGTGCTTTTCTTCTTTTGGGGTAGGACAGCTCACAAAGTCTCTGGCTGGCTACATGATGTCTGGCCGCTTTGGAAACTGGCCAGCATACTGGGCGCTCTCCCTTATACTCAGGGTGGTTATGCTTTGGAGCTAGAGAAACAAATATATTAAAAACCAAGCAGAACAATGGCAACATCTCATAAAAAACACAGCATAAAGGAAACTTATACTCACTGGCTAGTACCTCTATATGGGCAGATGTTCTTGAGGCCAACTGGGTGGTAGGTCGAGGTTCAGATCTGCAGCTAGATAACACTTGAAGTTGTTGTCTCCTCGGCTGGGCGAGCTCTCTAAGCCGTGAGGAGGCAACTGCTGATTGTGTCCCTCGACTCACCTGCAGAGAAGACCGATTAAATACAAGACAAACCCAATCTAGCTGGAGTGGCTCGTAGGATAGTAAAGTAGGAAGTTTAAAATGGTACAGTAAAGCTGGTCAGAGATTATGTGAAAATAGATTAAGCAAATATAGGCTGTAACCAATAATGTATTATTTCTGAATAGCATAATTTAGGCCAGTTTCAATGCCATAAAGGTAACAATTTTGAAGTTGCAAATCATAAAATGAAATTTCAAGCCAGCTTCTTCAG